GAAATAGTTGAAAAAACTGAAAATTAGGGCTTGGCTGAAGAGCTTTGAAGGCGGTACTATAAGGTGGTGGGGACAAAGGGCCCCGAGGGGAAGGAATTCTCAGAGATAATTGAGCTCTCTTCTACAGCCATTGTCTCATGTTCTTTCTGTAAATAACACAGCGCCCGTCGCTGTAGCCTTTGTACGTAGGATGTATTAGCTTAATTAATTTTTTGTTAGTGTATTTCCAATTATATATAACTAATATTTTTATACATAATAAATTATATCATTACAATTATCATAATTTTTAATATATGAATAAAAATATATAAAGACATAATTGCTCTTTTAAAATCGTTAATATATAACTAATCTTACAATTCTTATACATCACACCAAACAACCTCTAAGGAACAAAAATAAAATAAAAGAAAGCTAAAATTCTTTTTCTTCCCTTTTTAATTACGTATTTGCAATTTTAGTAGTAGTTAAATAGACACGAATTATGTGATAATAAAAGGATTCAGATTCGAATAAAGATTCATATAGTCCATCATACCAAGTATAATGGAATATTATGTATGATGGATTAATTTAAACTTAACTCTAGTTGAGTGATTCCGAGTTCCGAGGTATTTATATAACTTGATCCAATTAGTCTGAGATTAAGACATATTATTTGGTTGAGGACTTGAGGTAGATAAATGCAAATTGACAACTGCATTCATATTGCTACGGTCCAGCAAGACTTTTTTTAAATTAACTAATGGAGTATTTGGATAAAGAAAGAAAAAAAGCACCACTAGTAGTATACAATAATGTTTTTCTTAACGATGGAGTATTAATCAAAGCAAAAAATAAAGAATAAAAATAAAAATTATCATGGACGTTGTCAGTAGACTTCTAGTTTTTTAACCTTAAATAAATAATATTCCTTCTTAGAATAAGCTTAATTTAAGCTGTTTTTATTGTGGAACTACGCATCATATTTAAGAAAAGAATCTCTTAAAGCTGTTAAAGTTTTTCTAATATAGTATATAAAAACATATAAACAAAGAAGAAAAGTACATAAAAATTAAAAGTAAATAGAGTAAAAAACACACATGGATAATGATTTGCCGGTACACGTAGTTTATGTTGGACCACGTCACATTAATTATTAAACAATTCTTTGGCGTCTTACTTTATTACTAATTCGTTACTTTCAAGATCTCCAATTTTTGAATTTCTAGAACTATGATATGAATAATGCTCCTTTAGCAGGCGTTCGTCATTAATTAGAACAATAATGAAAATGACAAATGGTAATGATAATATTAATAATTCTCATGTGGCATTAAAAAAAATATAAGAACAATCTATGACTAATATCTATACGTGTTTTGTGATAACCTCAGTACTTTACCTATCTCCAGACTTTGCATCTTGACTCCATATATTTACCTAATCCAATCTTACGTTTTCTTATCAAACTTCTTTTTGTTTTTTTTGCTTCCTATTTTTTCCCCAAAGATGAGAAGTTTCTTTTAAAAGCGAAAAAATAAATAAATTGTAGGGTCATTGTCTTAACTCTTTCAACACCGCCAGATCAGCCATGAAGTTGATGTTTTAATGGTATGTAGTTGGTAGTTCACACTTATGGGAATGGGACAATTCCACAATATTGAGTAATTAAATTGCTAACTAGAAGTAATATATAAATTTAAACCAAAAATAGAAATATAAACCATTGATAGTAGTAAAAGGTCGTTGCCTGTTTTGTTATTTTTTAAGAATAGAATTACTAGTTTCTATTGCATAATGGTAACAACTAAGAGATTCAACTAGTCTGCTTTTGTTCTTCAACCCTTCACCCACCTTTCAAACCTACAATTCATGTTCCTCCTCCACACTTCAACATCTTTTTTCTGTCTTCAATCTTGACCATACACGAAGAAAGATGAAAGAATTGGATTATATGTTTCAAAGAAAGCAAAAAAAAAAAAAAAAGCGCAAAAAATGACTGGCTTGAAGTTCAAACAATAGAAAAATTTAAGGGAAAAGTGACCATCGAATTAGCAAGGACACAACCACACACATGCTGAAATAGTACTATTGACCAATGTTTTACAAGGTAATTACCACAAAAATAATTAATACTACAATTTTCTAACAACAAAAGATAGTAACTTTTTAATAGGCCAACATTATGAATGAAACTAACACTTAGTTCACTTTACAATTAAATCTTAAGTTTTCCTCTTGGATTTGCTATGTTGGAAGAAAGAGGGGAAGAAATTTGAAATGAAAATAGAAGAAAAACAGAGAAAAGATCGAAGTAGTGTTACTTCAAGGGTCAGTTTAATGAGGGTGCTACAACAAGTAGTGGAAGAAGAAAATGGAAAGAAATAGAGCTTAATTTCTAAGTTTTGCCTATCCTCCTATTTTGATAAAATGGAAACTTAGGTAATTACTTTCTAAACATACGTATAAAAAGAATATATTTCATTTAATTTAACCCTTTCATGCTTACTATAACTAGTTATTTTGGTTGAAATTTGTATACGGGTAAAATCGAGCCCATAATAGGCCTCGTCTTCCGATGAAGTAAACGGAGCAAGAAACGTAACGGCAGGGAACCAGAATCGAGACCAGGAGTCCCTTGAGCTGGGGTCCGGGTAAAGCGCCCGGCCTCGGGAGTATCGGGGTCATGACCCCGAGTTCGGTTCTAATCGCAAAGGCCTCGAAGAACACTACCAGGTAACCGAGCATGACCAACAAAAGGCCGTGATATCCGTGACCCGCCGGATATCATTGTCACAACCCAAATCGATGGGCCGTGATGGGTGCCTGAATCCTACATGTAAAACATCCTTAAGCATGCGTTTAAGATATAAACATGAATAACATACGTGAGGGAAACCTGTCCAAAAGATATATATACATATACATACGGAATACAGTGGAACGAGCCGGCAAGGCTGCTATAGACAACTATATACCCAAAACTGGAAGCCGACAAGGCCGCATACTATCCCACTATACATAACTGTCTACAGACCACTAATAGAAATACAACTGTACAAAGACGGGACTGAACCACGTCATACCCATATATGTATACAAGCATATCGTACCAAAATCAAAAGCAGCTCCGGATCAAGTGGAGTACGCCAACTCTCGTTGATCAAGGATCCTAAGAAGGGGGACCATCAACTTGCCTACCTGCACCTACGGGCATGAAACGTAGGCCCCGAAAAATAGGGCGTCAATACGAATAATGTACTGAGTATGTAAGGCGTGAAAATCAGTACATAAAAGACATAGATGAAACATGGAATAATGAAATTCACCTGTAAGTCTGGATAACTTTATAAATTTTGAAACATTTATAGTGTCATGCACGTACATATAAATGTCATGTCATGCATAGGTATAGGTGTATATATATCATCATCAAGCCTCTGAGGGCATCCCATCATATCGTCTAGGCCACTGTGGGCAACATCATCAACATATACCAACTGATCAGGCGGTGATGCGTATATAATGTCATAACCTTTTTCCATATCCCATATACATATAATATATGCATATATAACGCCATCCGGTCATGGGTCAATGTACATGTATAAATGCATGAAATGCATAAGAAATTCGTTAATAAGATTTCTCGGGATGTCATAAAAATCAATATGCCTTTCGGATACTTTATCAAATATGTATTTTTCTGAGACTCATAAACAGAAGATATAATAATAATTCACATGGGGAATCAAGAATATAGACACCCCTAGTATTTCTATGAATAGAGTCATTTATGAAAGTTGCGCAAGAGACGTAACGAAAGGGAACCAGAATCAAGACCAGGAGCCCCTCGAGCCCGGGTCCGGGCAAAGCGCCCGGCCTCGGGAGTATAGGGGCCATGACCCCGAATTCGATTCGAATCCCAAAAGCCTCACAGAACACTACCAGGTAACCGAGCACAACCAACAAAAGGCCGTGATATCCGTGACCAGCCGAATATCACGGCGTGGATCTCGGCACGTATTGACACATACCAGTGATTGGTTAAGCAGAAGATTTTTTACCTTTTGTAGAATTATACTTACGGTAAAACTCCCCTACTATATAGGAGGGGGGAGGGGAGGGGGGGGGGGGGGGGGGGGGGGGGTCTGATTATTCATTGGGGACAGTGTAACACGCATATCAAGGTAATATACTATTATTTTCTCTGTTATTTAAAGTTCTAGTTCTTGTTCGTTAGTGCTGGGTCATTGTGAGTCCGAGATCGGGGGCGAATATTTCATTAAGGTTGTTGTTAAGTCTGGAATCACCCTCCTCAAGTGGTTTGATAATTTATTACTTCCTTTATCCGTTTAATCTTACACAATTTATCGTTTGTATCGAATTAATCCACACATCCTTAAACCACAAACAAATTTAATTATTATCTATTTTTGAGGGTAAACAAAATTACCAATTACTCTTTAGTTCCAGATAAAACTTAAACTGTAATTTAAAGTTATTACCAAAAGTGCTTTCGAGAAGATAACAAAAATGGTTTATAAAAAATATATTCCTGAGCAGTTTTGAATTCTTAAATTTGACAAAAGTGAACATTTTTTTATCTTCGTTTAATAACTTAATTATTAACAAAGTCCCGTTAAATTGCTGAAATTGTAACACTAAATTGTAACAGACACTAGAAATAAACAAAAAATATATAATTCACCTAAAAGAACTGCACATGACACTAGAAGAATAAAAAATTATACAAAATTGCACATCTAAATATGAGTTCTCGTTAAGTGTTTAATGTTTTTTGTTATTTTATAATTTTCATTAAATCTAACAATAAGAATTTACTAATATTTGACTGAAACTAAAAAACGCACTTTTGATAAACTTAAAAAATCAAAACTGCTTAATAATATACTTAAGGGACTATATTAAACATACTCCCAAACATAAGGGTTCATTTATACCATTTTCACCAAAACTTTCATTACAAGCAGTCGAGCGCTATAATTCCTTTTTTGCTTGTTTCTTTTCCTTTTCCCAAGTTCTCCATTGTAAGAACCCCACCCCGCGTCATCTCGTTTCGAAAGTGATTTCTCAAAATTCTCCATTGAATAAACATTTGCAGTCTCGCTCTGTGTGTGTGTGTGTGTGTGTATGTGTGTGTGTGATTTAAAAGAAACACCAAAATGAGTAGTGTGGTTACTGAAGTTGCAGCGCTACTTAAACGCCGTTGCTCTGCGGGAAAACGTAAACCCAGGTTTTTCAAGAGAAGAGGTAACCCCATTTGGCTAGTAGAATCAATAATTACATTGCTAATTTTTATCCTCTCATAATCTGGAAACCAACTTCTTTCATCATTCCCCAATATCGTGAGAACTTTTTTCTTTTCACAGTCAAGTTAAAAGCAAAACGGAGAAGTAAAAAAGCAGTAGGTGTTAAAGGAGAAGAAGGATTAATCCCACTGGTGAAGAAGTATTGGGTCCAAAGATATGATCTTTTCTTAAGATATGACGAAGGAATTAAGATGGATGAAGAGGGCTGGTTTTCAGTTACGCCGGAGCAGATTGCCGTCAGGCATGCCGCCCGCTGTGGCGGCGGTGTCGTCATTGACGCTTTCGCTGGTGTTGGTGGCAATGCTATCCAATTTGCAACTATGTATGTAGTGTAGTGTTTCTTGCCGAGTCCTTTTGTTTTCAATTATTTTTGGGGTCTTCTTTTAGTCTGCCTCTAATACAAAGAACATAAAAGATGGAAATGAACCCATTAATTAATTCCTCTACTGCCATTCTCTATTCTCTGTGCGTTGTTCAAGTGGAAATTCACCTAGTATACGCAAAAATGAGAATTATTCCTTACTTGTTTTGTATATAAGAGTTCATTATATCTTAGTCAATCTCGTAGACTTTTATTTCTGTGAGATTATAGGTTTAGAAGTTGAAATGTTCTGTTGGTTGAATTGCTTGTGTCTAGTCTCAAAGAAGTAGTAAAAACAGATAGAAACACTAACCAAAACAAGCATTTGTTTTTAGATAAATTGCATTTACTACAATGTTAACTCAAAAAGACTGTTGCTTCTTTCAGAGATGCAATTTTTTTAAGGTGATTGGTCATAAATCTAGTGCACTTGCTCTACATGAGCTACTTGCATCAGATGAGTCTTGAGAAACATCTTCTTGAAGCTATTGATAAGAGAATGATAGTCTAATGATTTTTATGGTTCTTAGACTCATAAAATATCTTTATCTCCCATGATCTCATACATAGGTGTCATCATGTCATTGCAATTGATATTGACCCTAGAAAAGTTGCATTGGCTTTTGAAAATGCAAAGGTATACGGTGTTGAAGAGCGTATTGATTTCATTGTGGGAGACTTTTTCCAACTGGCCCCATCCTTGAAGGTGCATCCTCTCTCTCTCTCTCTCTCTCTCTCTCTCTCTCTCTCTCTCTCTCTCTCTCCTTGTCGATTGTGGGTATACGTACATCCTCTCTGTTAAAAGCTATAGTATCTTTATCTAGCTGGAGTCAGTAGAATGATAAGCTGGATCCTATTGAATGTAAGTTGGTTTATTTGTATAAGTGGATCATGCACTAGTTTTGTTAGATTAACTTTCTATATAGAGCAGTGTTTAACTTGTTCGTGAATTTCACATTTGGTACGAGGCTCATGCTGCCTCAATATTATCCTTTTAGGATATTAAGATTCTAAAAAGGAACAGTATGGGACTGTCAGGATTTAGCTGATGGCAGCATGAGACTCTATACCCTGCAGTTTGGGAATGGTCAAATGCAAATCTTTTACCCGTGCACAAGAGGGAAGCCGTTTTATGCTTCAGGCTGTCCTTACTGGTATTTAGATAACTAGACAGCTGTGTTTGGTTGTTATAATCATGATGCACTACTGATTTGGAACTCTTAATTTAGAGATCCGCGTTAACTGCTCTTTCTGTTAGGCAGTTTAATTATCACTTTCTTTTTTTGGTCTAGATGTGGCTCTGATCGAAAAAATGATAAACACGGCTTAGATTAACAAAAATGTGATTTTTGGTACCTTACATTTGTATTTTGTCATGTGAAGCTTTAAAATTATGTCCTCACCTAGTTTTACTATCTTGAAAACTAAAATGATTTAAAGACATTTATGTCTTGCAAACTATCCCGGAGCACCTTTACCATTGTGTCAAGGCTAAAGCTTAGGTTGTTCGGCAGCCATTGGCATCACATGGCTTTTCAAAAATGGATGATACAGCATTCTTGATTAAAAAAAGAGAGGATGATACAGCATCCTGTTTTGTCTAGTGAGGTTAAGTCTGTTGTTGTTTCCATGTTGTCCAGGATTCCTGATTTGTCTCCACAAAAATGCTTGCTTCTGTCACTTGAAGGAGCCTCTGCTTATTTGTTGCTGGAAGCAGCCTTAATTGCATGAAATAATTATGACACTGGATGTCCATAGAAATTGCCTTGTGACGTAGATTGTCCCGTTCCGTAAGTAGGTGAAAAAACTTCTAAATCCAGAAAGCTGACCTTTACTAAGGAGCATCACTTCATCTCCTTAAACTTTTAAACTGTGAGAGGATTTTAAACTACCTGTTGATGGATTCTACTTCTTGCTATGCTATTGTTCCACTTACCTTGGAGTAGCATGAAACTAAAGCATGTTAGATCTTGATGGGTTGGATAGCTGCATATTGGACCATCTATTATGTGTTTGTGTACTTCACCAAGCGATATGTTCTCAGCAAAGAATTGGATAATAGATTCCCCAAGGATCAATAAATAACGCTGTTGTAAGGTTTTGAGCATTGCAAGTCCATAAAATTCAGGGAGACCGAAATATAATGTGTTGTTGAGGGACTCCCATTCAATCCTTGCCATTCTCTAATTTCCCCTTTGCAGCTTCTCTTCCTAAATGTTACCATCTTCTCTTTACTAGGGGAACGTAGTATTTCTTTCACCTCCATGGGGTGGTCCAGCATATATGGCAAATGAAACTTTTACCCTCGACTTACTGAAGCCAAAAAATGGGTATGTCCTGCATTTGGCTAATTAGTTGTTTCTATGTCACTCTGGTTTTTGTTATTTAGTAGTTACTTTCTCATGTTGCATTTTAGACCTGTCATTATCAGTTGCACTCTTCAGTAAAATCTATATCTACTCTTTTTAGCTATGTTAATTTTTCTTTCCATATATTTGGCTTTTGGTGTCACTGAAAATCAATTATACACTTGGCAGTTCAACTTCTGTTTTCTTTCCTTTTTTCTTTTCATTTCGTTTCCCCTCAGTTTTGTCTTAAATTACCCCAAGAACTTTTCTATAAAGATAAATATGCCAAAAAGGGTGGTACAGTTGAAAGGTGGGAATCAAAGCTTGATCATCAGGCTTTGTTTCATATAAAATTTCTCAGATGTGATTGAGAAGTTGGGTCTAGTTAGGAGGGGTTATAATTAATCCAATCTTCAACTGCTGTCGATGGTTTAATAAACCAATACTTGTATTTCTAGTCCTGTTGATAATCTGAGAGTAACTTCCCAAAAATTAAAAATTAAAAAACATAACTATGAGAATATTTTCAATCCTTATGTTAATATGTTCCTATCTTATCTAATGAGCTATAGTCCAAATGCACCTTATTTCCGTCTAATAGGATCAGGATGTGTTTTGTTGATGAGACTTTTTAAGTTACATGTTGAAAAAGCTCTTTTACTTTGTGCAGTTATTCATTGTTCCAAGTTGCTCAAAGCATAACACCAAATGTCATTATGTATTTGCCTCGTAATGTGGACTTACAACAAGTTGAAGAGCTTTCTTGGTTGTCTTCTCCGCCTATGAAAGTCGAGGTAGTCTGCTTCTCTTTGTTGTGCTAACATGGTACATTAAACAGTTTTACTAGAGCTGGGTTTCCTTATGCAGATTGAAGAGAATATGCTTCATGGAAGGTTGAAGAGCATAACTGCTTATTTTGGTGACATCGCCTTCTAAACCTTAGCATGTATGAACTCTAACCAGAATCTAACAATGTCCTTTGTAATTTTATGTATCTCTATATCCATCAAAGTCTGTTTAATCGAAGACTGTGTACATATGAAAATGTACGGTCTCAAGTTGACTCCTGCTATTTAAGAACTTCATGTTATGTCAGTTACGAATTACAATGGATTAGCGCCATATATGGCCAAGTGCGTACTGCTGAGCTGATTAATGAGGATGAAATTAGGAGTTTTTGGCATTGTATTGCTGATTAATGAAGACAAAACTGTAGATTTTGCTATTTAGTACTTTAGAACAAAAAAGAGAGGGAAATGAGTAAGAGTTGATTCTTCTATGTACAAACATATGTAATATGTACATCTTTTCTTGGTAGGTCAGTTTGAGAGTGACTTTTTCACTAAGTATTTATATCTGAAAGGAAAGGAGGATGTGTCTATTAATCTTAAACCAACCAATAAATGTTCATGAGTATTTTTAGGCGTAGGTTGTTATCACAATATAATTGTCATCCATCTTTAGGACCACCCAAAGGAACTCGTTTTCCGACTTCATCTTCATCTGACTTTGGGATACTGCAACGTCAATAACCCCATATACTAAAGAAGGAAAGTGATGTACGACTATTAATTTTTGGTAGAAGCAAGTTGCAATAATGTTAGGTATCCACCTAATAAATACATATGTATTTGGATTTGGTGCTCAATTGAGCATGTCCTAAAAGTGTGTGTTAGCACTTAGCAGCCTTTAGTAAAGAGCTACCATTGTGAACTAAACTTTAGAAACAGTTGTGTTATATCCTATTTTGTGCATTATTTTTATCTAATGAAAGTCGAATGAATCAAAGCAGTTTAAGATGGCATTTGGTACTGCATCTGTTATTCTGGGGCTCCATTCAAAGGAATCCGGACAAATTTCAAATCTCTGACTTTGAAAACTTTTGCTCCTTTGTGGACAGCAACAAAAAAAAGTTCCAACTCAGTTGTACTGTATTTGCCCAAAATCTTTACCTCATTTATTGTACTACTAATACTGATACTCTTCTGTTCATCTCTGATTCATTTGACCATCCAAATTCAAAGCTATTTTCATTATACTATAAGTAAAAACTTGTCTTAAATACTGAAGCAGTACTATTTTTCATGAGTCTCTTTCAGGGATACAATAATTGGCAGACGATTTAATGTTTTAGACACTTTATTTTTTTCCCTCATATCCAAACATGGCTTAAGAATAGTAAATCTACAAGAATTTAAGTTCTATGCACTGACAATGTAAAATATATTTATATGATCAAGCACTTCTAAGGTTATTCGACGTAAATCTATATAATAAATATAGTTGGCAACCTAGTACTAAATATAATAACTAACATAAAATAATATGTTAAACTACACTTATAGTATAAAAACTCTTTTATATAACTTAAAATTCAATTAAGAAATATTCTGAAGTAATGCAACTCTGCCACTAGCAAGTACCAAGCCCAACTGGTTGTTATATAAGTCATAAAGAGAAGCATTCCTTCTCCTAATTACTTCTACTCTCTTCACTTCATTTTGCCCATATTTATAACAACAACAACATACCCAGTATTATCCCACAGCGTGGGGTTTGGGGAGTGTAGTGTGTACGCAGACCTTACCCCTAACTTGTGAGGACGGAGAGGCTGTTTCTGCCCATATTTATACACCATATATCTTTCACAGCAACCTCAAAAACTTTGTTCCAACTTCTTCCACATCCCCAAAACAAGGGAAATATACCACAAAATACATTTTCAAACATAAAGCTAAAGGATATGAACTACAAGAAATTAGGAGGCAGCAGGAAGATGAGAGGATTTATGTGCCAGCCTGAAGTGGCAACTGCAGTGTGCATGAGCTGTGATTCAAGGTCAGTTGTTGTTCCGGCGGCGAGGCGTAGAATGTTGGTGGAAGAACATGCAAAATTAATTAACAACTACTCTAAATGTACTAGGTTAGGGGATGTACCTCGTACACTTGGTTCTATGCCTATGATCAGTACTGCTACTACTACCACTAGTAGTAGGAGATCAAGAAATGGTGTTGGCGCTGTTTCCTCTCTTCCTGTTTTGACTATTAAGAAAGATGAAGAAAAAGGTTCCCAAATTGTTGTTCCTTCACTACTCTCTTCAGATAACACATTCCAGGTTACATTTTTTTTATGATCATAATTAAAAGCATTTTTGTATTTACTCATTGGAAAAAAGAAAATATAGTGTGTTTATTGTGGTAGCATATATTTATGCAGGTTGTTGTGATGAGAGTATCTCTTCATTGTCAAGGCTGTGCTGGTAAAGTGAAGAAACATCTCTCCAAAATGGAAGGTATACAAACTTGATACTACTACTGCTATTTGTCTTGATAAATCTTTTTTTTTCCTCTCCCTCTTGATAATTTTATCATAGAAAACAGGTAAAGTTAGAAAAATCAGTCAAGAAAATACATCACTGCAGTTTTCATCTAGAGAAGTTTAGATAGCATTATTACTTTTTCCAGGTTTTTTTATTTTTATTTTTGGAGACAATGATTAATAATGTCACCAAGAAAGATCACGAGCTACATTGAATATTCTTAAAAGGTTTCAACTTGAAGCAGAAGACTTACAATTTTTCCATTATATATAACGAAGCAGTTGCACAATTTGCATGCCCTTGCAATTTCAAGAATTTTCTTTTACCTACTGCTTTTCTATGATAGTATGAGCAATCATGTCCAATAATGACCATAATAAATTGTATTTCGTCAAAGATTAACCTTTCATGATTACTACATATGACCTTATCTTCCAAAATGCTGTTATAGCCGACTAAATTGATGTGCAAGGTATATAATTTAAATATTATTATTAAAGGGAATGGTTTGATTTCGAGTTATTTTGAATTAGCAGGGGTGACATCTTTCAGCATAGACTTGGATAGCAAAAGGGTAACTGTGATGGGACACGTGTCACCTGTTGGTGTGTTGGAAAGCATATCGAAAGTGAAAAGAGCTGAATTTTGGCCCTGAATAATAGTTGTTGAATAATAGTTGTTGAATAATAGTTGAATAAGAAGAAGAAGAAGAAGAAGGTTTTTTAATTTTAATTTTTTTTGTCCACCATTACACCAAACTTAACCTTATTTTTTCAGTTTCTCTCAAGAAATGAAATGAGAATTTACAGATTAATACAATATAGACAACTCCCAATTTTTCTTAGCTCGCTCTTGCAAGCTATATTTGGTGTGTTGGAAAGCATATCGAAAGTGAAAAGAGCTGAATTTTGGCCCTAAATTTTGGCCATGTACATTTTCATATTGCAATTTGAGTGCAACAAAATTCAATGTAATAGCCGACTTATTATTAAAGGGAATGGTTTGATTTCGAGTTATTTTGAATTAGCAGGGGTGACATCTTTCAGCATAGACTTGGATAGCAAAAGGGTAACTGTGATGGGACACGTGTCACCTGTTGGTGTGTTGGAAAGCATATCGAAAGTGAAAAGAGCTGAATTTTGGCCCTGAATAATAGTTGTTGAATAATAGTTGTTGAATAATAGTTGAATAAGAAGAAGAAGAAGAAGAAGGTTTTTTAATTTTAATTTTTTTTGTCCACCATTACACCAAACTTAACCTTATTTTTTCAGTTTCTCTCAAGAAATGAAATGAGAATTTACAGATTAATACAATATAGACAACTCCCAATTTTTCTTAGCTCGCTCTTGCATTCAGTTTGGTGTGTTGGAAAGCATATCGAAAGTGAAAAGAGCTGAATTTTGGCCCTGAATAATAGTTGTTGAATAATAGTTGTTGAAGAAGAAGAAGAAGAAGAAGAAGAAGAAGAAGAAGAAGAAGAAGAAGAAGAAGAAGAAGAAGGTTTTTTAATTTTAATTTTTTTGTCCACCATTACACCAAACTTAACCTTATTTTTTCAGTTTCTCTCAAGAAATGAAATGAGAATTTACAGATTAATACAATATAGACAACTCCCAATTTTTCTTAGCTCGCTCTTGCAAGCTATATTTGGTGTGTTGGAAAGCATATCGAAAGTGAAAAGAGCTGAATTTTGGCCCTGAATTTTGGCCATGTACATTTTCATATTGCAATTTGAGTGCAACAAAATTCAATGTAATTAGATGATGAGTTATCCATTAAATGTATCATAGGTGCAATCAAAGGAATATATTTGAACTGACCCTGGGAGAATGATATGCAATCCTGTCTTTGAGCCTAGTAATATCCTAGTGGTCAGGAATTCACAACTTTTTGTTTTTATTTTTTTATGTCGATGGTACCCTGGACTAGTTTGTTCCCAGCCGATTGTTGTAACTCTATCCACCAAAAATTTAGCAGATGGGAAAGCTTGAGACGTCTACAACGTAGCAGAGGCATTTTGATCAACAATCACATTCCTTTTAGATTGAACTTTGTGGCGTCAAAGTTAAGAGGTCAACCTATCCTCCTAATTTTAATGATAGATAGAGTAGGAAGATGTAGGCTGAATCAGCAAGCCCATTCACATATGCATGCACTTCACCTTATGTTTTAAGGACTTCTCTTTGTTTGAGCAAAATTTATTCATACTCATTCGGGTCAAATTTATAATACTCGGTAGTCCAAAATTACATTATATATTTTATAGCTCAAAAGTAACCTAGTGGCTAGCCACCGAATTATACATCTGACCCACAAACACCTGATTGGCCGAAGACAACACTAACAATTTTTTTGCACTTTTCCCATTTAGTTTTCCTTGGATTCTTTCTATATATCTTCTGGTCCCAATCTTGTAGTATTACTTCAGTAACTTTTTCTTCTTCGCATGACCTCTTTTCGGCAAATTTCTAAAGGGAAATTTTGGTAGTTACTTAGGAATTTATAAAATATTCTATAATCTACAACTTGTATTAGAATTATAAATTCTACAACAAAATATAAAAGATACACTCTAAAAATATGATGGACTACCTATTAATGGGGAATCATATTTTGAAACGTATCCTTATTTGCTAAAAATTCTCCAATTTATTAATATTGATTACCACTATAAGCACCCATTTGCCTTAATTATCCGTGTATTATGCATCAATCAAACCATATCCCCTTGTATTATGCACCAATCATATCATATCCTTACCAAAAGAAATATTTCTTTGTTAGTTTTAAATTTTTTTACGAAATTATTTCTCTCTATTAGAACTCCTATGCTATACACCATCCAGAAATCTCAAAGGATTCCCCAAATTTGATTCTTCTTCACCTCCCTGTCAACGCAAAACCCTGTTTCCCCAAATCTTTTATAATATAATATTGTATATTGTTTAATATATACATGATATANAACATACATTTTGTACAAGAAATATACAATATACAATACATTAATGGAGAAATTAGGGGAAAATTAATATGATAGATACTTTTTGATGAGAGAGAATCTTAAGAGAGAGATATTAGGATATATTTTAGGTGAGATAATCTCAATAGATATATATTAGGAATATGAAAACTTGTAAATTTTAAAATAAATTGTATTATATGTAATTTTATCAAAGCAGTTGTAGGAAACTTAAATAAATGTTAGAAAGGTTTTATTCTATGTAAATTCCTCATTTCTAAAGATGCTCTTTGTCGGCCAAAATTAATAGCCCAAAGAATTACATTATTTTCCTTTTGCAAAAATTTTGAGTTTTAGTGTCAATAAATAATACTCCCACTGAAAATATAGGAAGTATGAATTAAGGAGAATTACATCAATCATCAATGTTTCCAATTGGCAAATTTTGTGAGGGACATACAATTGTTTCCATTATTTTCTTGACAAGCTATAATCTTTTTTGGCTTACAAGAAAAGGAAACTTATGAAAGGAAGAATAGAATTCTGGTTATAACTTTTTAATTCAGATATGCAATTGGTCATTTGATTTTTCAGTTATGTCTTGATAAGTGGTAGGGTACAAGGCAGGAAGGTGGTGGAAGGTATATACAAAATAGACTGTCACTATACAAAAAATATACTAAATAGACTGTCACTATACAATTTATATGCAATAGACTGTCATTATACAAAACAAATTGTCACTATACAAAAATTATACAAAATAGATATTTCAGGCTATTAGTTGTAATATGTTTGGGATGGAGGGACATTTCGTGTCAATGGAAAAAAGTATGTGCTATTAAAATTTTGAGGGGCTATAGAGAGTCATTTTTTCTTCTTTTTATTATGATTAAAATAATAGAACCGACATCAAAGAACTAATCTAAGCCGTTAAGGAAATTAAAAAAAATTTACACAAATGTCCCAAATAAGTCTCAACTTACCAACCTCTAGTCATTAGTCATACACTTACCAAAACTAGCCAAGCACATATAAAAATTGAAAAACCAGATAAATAAGGTTCTTTCTCTCAAAGAATCATATGCAAAAATCTCCTTCCATATTTTTAAGCGTGATTAGCAACATTAGATGCAAGATGGAAAGGAAATTTCATGGATGAGGTAGAAAATAATGTGATGAAATACAAAAAAACTAAATACAATATTCCAAAAATCTAAGCAAAAAAGAAACTTTTTTAATGGGTATAGTTGAAATTCATTGAAAACATATAGATAAGTCAATATACAAAATTTGAGGAAGATTGGAGGTGATTTGGACTGGTTTTGTATCAAAATTCGTAATTAAATCGAGTTAAAAAAATTCTTCTGCGACACATGTATCACGCATGTATCTCACATACGGGTATACATGTGATACATAATTGATACAAATATGATACATATGTGATACACAAATAATACACAATGTGATACACATCATTTTTTTTTCATGTTCAGTTTTTACTTCGAATTTTCAATTCAAACCATTTCAAAACTTCACCAAATCATCCCAAAACTGAGATTCAAGCTCCTTAAGATGTACCAAATCTATTCTAATAATACCGACTCAAAAAAAAGCAAAAATTTGACCTTTTTTGCTACAAATAGTTAATTGGCTAATATTAATAATATTTTATGAATTGGCCAATTTTCATAATGAGCTACTTATAAATGGACATAGCTGGTAGTTTCACTTTAAAGTATGCCTAGTTGTCTTCTTAGGCAAATCCAAGTGCTTCCTTCTTTAGATATCTACTAATCTAACACGATCAATGAAGTATGTGGCCTAATGGTTAACAAAATGAGTACAAACATTGAAAACTAATTTCTTCATAGCGCAAATACCGAATAAAACAATCGAAGTACACACAAATTAACTCATATATCACCACTATAAAAAAATAACTAATTGGTCATTTGGTTTGAATATCTCTTATGCTAGGATAAGTTATGTTGGGATTAGTTATGCTGTGATTGTTTTCTATCCACTGTTTGGTATGTTGTATTAAAAATGACATGCATTGCATAATTTCTAAGAAGAAATTATTTGTTTACAAAAATACCCCATATCTTATTTAGCCTCCATCTTCTTGCTCCTTTATCCAATTGACATACGTCAATTTTCAATTCTTACATCAACAAGTATTAAATAGTTTTTTGAGGCTCTAGTTTTCAATTGTTTGAAATATATCTGCTGATTTCTTCTTCTAAATCTTCTTCCTAACTTTAATCCATGTTTCCTTCAGATGTAAGATAGCTAATTGGCATGTATAATACTACTGATTTCTTGGTCTTCTCAATTTTCGTGGAATGTATTGTGATTCCACATCAGAGGTTTAAAACAAGATCCACAAGTTGGCCAGAAAGACATAACCAAAACTATAGAATTTAGAGGCATCAAAAACATAGTTAAGCTAAAAAGAGAAATTGAAGAATTGTCATAATAGTAATATAATTACATATACACTTAACATTTACACTAGAGTTAAGTTATTTAATAGACATTAGTTACACAAAAAATATAGCATCCTCGTGCCCATCAGTCATAAACAAAAGAGTATGGACATAACCCGAGGTACCAAAAATAGCACTACAGTTTAACTTTAAAGTTGTTAGTCGAGCAAAAACTATCAAACTAGTGCCACCACATATACACAACTTTACCATACTTCAAAGTTTACCATTGACAATCATGAACATCATTGTTTGGCGTTCAAGTTCACCCATACGTAAAAATAATTTTATCTTTTTGACATCTTCACTGAGAATCATTGTAGCTTTGATACGTTTTTGTACAGAGTATAACTCAAATGCGGGAGATTCAAGGATGCAATAAATTTTACCACGAATATCGGATTGGTCATAATCTCCAATCTTATCAATCAAGACACCCATTCTTTTATCTTGACTTTCAATAAAGTTTTTCATAACTTCTGTCACACCCTTAAGAAATGTCTCACTAGAATCCTCCACAGCCCTTTTTCTTTTCTCTTTTTCATTGAAATTATAATAGGACCTATTAGCATGCTCACCTTGTTTATGATTTTTTTGGAATCCTGCATGTTCATTTTCAGATGCTCCAGCACATTCATGTTCAGATGCTCTAGCATCTTCCTTTTCAGATGCTCCAGTAAAACTAGGTCCAGCATAAGCATTTTCAGCTTCACCAGTAGCTATATTAGGTCAATCACCAACATCATCTTCTTCTTCTTCATCATCATCAATAGGCCATCCTATGCTCATGTCATTAGAAAGTCCTGAAGCTTGACTCCTTAGAATATCCTCAGTAGCATTTAGCAGCCCCTCTGCGAACTCTCCAGTCGCTCTATCCTTGCCAAAAATTTCCTCCCAATCCTCAAACATTGGCCATTTCTTAGTTTTCATGCTTTTTGCTTTTGGATCCATCTAAAAAAAATTATGCGTCAGTTATAAACTATGATGCGAACTCAGGAAAATTCCTATATGAAGTAACAATATTCTAATAACTTAAGCAAAGTATAAATTACCTTTATAAATTCATCCCAATATTTTGGATCGTCAACAATTATGGTTCCATCACTATATTAAAACCCCAGACCACTTCGACTCTTTAATAAACTTATGCTTTAATAACATATCTTCCATGAGCCCTAGCATGCTTCATATTGAAAAGATCTTCTCGACTTCGAGGTGGCAGATTGTCACCTTTCCAATCCCTTAACCAATATCTATACCCTCTCTAAGGTGAAAGAAAACTGTTTCCATTTGTATATCCTCCATCGCACAAATAATAATTTCCTATGATATAAACATAAAATTTCGTTACTTTTATGTAGCATTCTTTTTATGATATAACTTGAGTGTATAAGCATACGTATGGCATACCCTCAGGGATTTTCAAACCATTCGTTCGCACTATAGCATCTCATAATACACGACCATCGGTAGCTGATCCTTCCCAACCACGTAATACATAAGTAAAATTAAAATTTCTATCACAAACTCCTAGTACATTAGTTGCTATTTCTCCCTTTCTTGTTTTGTATCTTGGTTTGTACTCGGATAGAACTCTAATTTGAATGAAAGTACCATCCAGTGCACCTAGACATCCCTATAAAATCAATTATAGATTATCTCAAACTTTTAATTTCTTTTCGTATGATTATATTTTTTTTAGTTTTACATAAATTAATAGATGCTCAAAAGAAATTTCACATACCTTAAACCATCTCCATTGATCTTCAATCTCATCTTCAAGCACTGGTTTGGGATTAACAAGTAACAATGGAGCTAGTCTGAGAACAACTCTCAGGCATTCATTGAAAGCTTGACTTACGCTCCAACCTGATCTAACATAGTCAACCTTAATTGATATATTCTTCTCATAATGAGCCAAGATATTTAAAAACATTGCTAACTTTTCACTACTTGACATATTTTTACTATCAGTTTAACCTCCAATTTCCTTAGTTAAGAGAACTAAAGTGTGAAAGGAATTTCTATCCATTCTTAACTTATCAGTACATGCAATATCATTGTCATGTATGATACAATTCAAATGAGACATAATTTTAGGAATTCGAACACTCATACGGTACCTAATCACACGCCTATTTCTATGTTGTCTTTTTATAGATTGACCATAAATAGTCATGAAAAGAAATATAAACACAACAAGAAATTGTTGGCACAATATCTCCTCAAGGATAATAACGCATTCAATATCGGACAATAGTTGATGATCTATAAGAAAAGCTAATTTTTCCATTACAAAAATGAAAAGAATTAATATACAAAAAAATTCAATTAGAAAAAGGAATCTGAGAGTAAAAGTTTATAATTTTCAAGCACATAAAGAGAAACAAATGAACCCAACGAATATTTGGAAAGATGCTAAACTAAGATTTCATCATCAACATAAAGAGAGAAGGGCTAATAAATGGCAGAGGACAATCCACAACTGTGATTTTCACATATTACAGCTCTTTCACATATAGCTAGTACTCTTTCATATATTTCGGCTCTTTCGGCACTACATATTGAGTTTGAAAGGCTATGATTTTCCTCAATTATTTGCTAAATAAAATTCAGCAAAATAATTACGTAACATTCATAAAAGAGTTCAGATTTTTACTATTTTGGTAGAGAAGAAGACTGTACCCAAATTATGCAACAGAGAACTTATAAATGATAACAAGAAAGAATAAGAGAAATAGGTTTTGATAGAAGTTTTAACCTTGTGAGAAAAGCAAAATGGAAGATAATGTCAAAGTTGTTCTTCAATCACTACAACATAGCTTTTGCATCCAAAGAAGAGAAGAAATCTTTCCCAAGAGCAGAGAAATTTGTAGAGGCATTGCTTTACCAATGTTGGGTAAAGAATGGGAAAAGTGATGTAGAAAAAAAGTTTGAGGACCTTTAGGGCTATTTTGGTAATTTCGCTATTTTGTTGGGGGATAATAATCTCAGCATTAATTATCCCACCTACTGAGAAGGTATAAGTTATCCTGGTATTAATTTTAATACCGAGATAACTTATATCAGATTTGGTAACCAAACAAGGTATAAAATGTTATTAAATTTTTATACCAGCATTATTTTTACTTATACTTTATACCAAACGACCCCTAAAGGTAACAACAAAAGTAATCTAATACAGTCAAGTCCACGAGTCAGAGCTACTTTTTCCAGGACTCCCCGAATAGTCCTGCAAACAGATACAGATTCTGCTGGACCATTGTCCTGTGCAAGCAAACTGCTGAGGTCCAGTACATGAAAAGGATCCTGACTTAGTCATATTCAGAGAAAAAATACGGGAACCAAACCAACATATATAGTAAATCTTCGCCAGAAAAGCTAGGAAAAGTGGACTTTCACTTATGCATGAAAAAGCAAACTGAAGGAGTACCAAGCTTCAGTGACAATACAAGGGTCCAGTCCATAAAAAGCTTGTGAAACCCCACAAGAAAAGTAGGGAACAATAAACTTTCACCATACACGTTGCTATAATAAAAAGACAAAGGTCAAAAGGAGAGAGGAAAAGCACCAACATCAAGTAAATAACCAAGCATTGCCCGCTTTAAATTAAGTGGTATTCCAGGTCGAAATATCAGTTCTCATCACCAAAAACCAATGTTTTAAAACGCGTGGGCGTAAAACGGGATGTTTTACATATACTTCAGCGGGGCATAAGCCCCATAGGTATTTAATTTTTAATATTTTATAAAATAATATAATGACAATTAATATTTATAAACATGTAAAATTGCATAAAAATTAAAATATATATATATGCACAAAAAGGATGATTAACCTACAATTTGAACTTTGAATTTGCTGATATGAAAAAAAATGTAGTTCTCTTTGTATTTGTAAAAAAAAACAAACTTTCGTTGCTTTTGGGAGATATTAAAAGACTAGCGGACAAGATAAAAATTTGAAAAACCCATGAATTAAGGCTTAAATCAATAAAAAAAAAGTCTTTACTTTTAAATTAATACTTTTGAGTTCATTTTTAAACCTTTTGAGTAATTACCAAACTGACTTTTGAGAATTTGGATATTATATGAACTATTAATTCAACAAATTTTGTTTTAATTTGAAAAAATCTCTGGACTTACTCCTTACTAAAAAAATGTGCCCCGAACGCCCGAGCGTACGCCTTTTGAGACTCTCGCCCCGCACCATCGCCCCGGGGCGTTTTTGGTGCGCCTCGCCCCGGGGCTCGCCCAAAAAACGCCTTTTAAAACAGAGGCAAAAACTACTCCATTTTACTGGGACACTTGTAAAAGTCTCTTTTGGGCAATAATAATCGAGAACCAATTTAAATGAAACACAAACGAAAATAAAAGAGAAATCATCCAAATAAAAAACTCATGACAAAAACAAGTGACACTGCAGTGTCATCACTATTTACGCTGGTCTCATAAATTGCCTACCTCTACTTATAGAATTAGAGTGCACCCAATAAAGGTTCAATAACAAAACGCCACAACAATATCTCCGTTGTTTCCCCGCAAAACGCCATCCTAAAATGTGCTTAGAACCAGCAAAAAACCACAATCCTAGAATATGTTTAGAACCAACAGAAAGCTACAGCCATTACGGTCAGAACCAATTGCCCAATGGATAGACCAAGTGTAGTAGAATCAGAGCTTCCTGGAGCCGGTGCCGGAGCAACTTCACTAGCACCTTCGGCAGTGGTTGGAGCAACTGCCGCTGACGTGGTAGGTGATACAGCAATTGGAGAAAGAGCTGCACCAGAAAATAAAAGAATTAAATCCACTGCCAACTGTTCTTACACTTGGTACAATATGACAAATTGTTATACTTCATCATCCATAGTAAACTAAATACGTTTGATCTTTCTAGATAGGAAATGCAACATTCTCATGGTTTCAGCCAATTAAAAGGTCTAATAGCCAAATAGATGGTCATGCTTGCACCGTTTTGTCATCCAGCCCCTCTACTATACGAAGTTTCATCTAGACACCTCCAACTCGTTTAAAAAAAGTGATTTAAGCCCCTCTACGGGACAAGAGTGGGTTGCTCTAGTGGTGAGCACCTTCCATTTCCAACCAAGAGGTTGTGAGTTCGAGTCACCCAAGAGCAAGGTGGGGAGTTCTTGGAGGGAGGTAGTCGGGGGTCTATCGGAAACACTTTTTACCCCAGGGTGGGGTAGGTCTGCGTACACACTATCCTCCCCAGACTCCACTAATGGGATTATAGTGGGTTAGCATGGAGAAAACCAAAATTTACAATGTCAAACATCGTAAGACTGCACTTACTAGAAAAATATTTTTTCATTTCGGCATGTTTGTTCAGCTTAAACTGAATGTTGCTTACCCATTAATAAATCAAATCATAAGGAAAACGTGTAGCAGAAGCAGATGAACTCATTATACTCCTACACTATGACCACCACCCGTGGAGAATAATTAACAACAAAAAAACATACCTTTCATAGAACCAAAATGCACTCCCATATATTCATTTTTTATAGTTTTATATATTGCATCTAACCTAAAGCAGATAAATTGCATCTTATAGTCTACCCAATTGTTGAAGATGAAATTTGGAATTAGGATTTATGCAAAACAGACGTTCAATTGAATGTACTGTATAGATTTTTAACATTTGAGTCCTCACGACCACATCACGTGAACAGTATACTAATAAAACAAGAATATGCACAAAATAATGAGGAACAAAATGTTCTCAAACAATAATTGCCATCTTTCCTTATCTTTATCCATCTACATCTCGAAAAATTGGAAGAGGGGC